TGTTTTGAACCATCATGACTCTGTTTTACCTTCTACCTAATCGTATTGTTGTAGCTAATCGGGTTTGGTGAGGAGTTTATGACCCTGGAACGTGAATTGTATTGGTTGATGGTATTTCGGTGGGGGCTGAGGCTTTACCTATTGTTATTTCGTCTTCTGATGCCATGATTTCACCTGTGGATGTGCCTATCCGGTTTGGGGATGTTGTTTTACCTGTCAATGATGTTGATGTTATTCCACCCCAGGGAAATGATCCGATTTGATGTCAATGGTAGTGCAGGAATTTTATGCAATGGTGGATCTTGTGTTGCTGTGAACCACTTGGGTCTTCTGATTTACAGGTTGTGGATGGTTAGCTGTTAATGCAGTGTCTGAGCCTGTGGATAATTTAAGCAGAGAATTTCAAAGAGCTCTAATCATTTTGTTAATGTTCCGGTTCATATGGTGGAAATGATTAATTTGTTGAATTCTTTGAATTCTGGATTTGATAGATCGGATCAGGTGGATTGGTTGCATGGATCCTCTAATGGGTGAATTTGGTTCCGAGCCTTTCGGATTGTGATTTCACGTCGCCGGAATTCTGCGGGGGGTCTGACCTGGGAATGATTTCTCTTTGGTTCGTGTTAATCCTGGCCGTTCGAAGGTTTCTCGTGGTAGGCCGTGGAAGGGGTCGTCGTAGACGTTGATTTAATTGTTTGTTTCTCGTTATTTTTGTTGTGGTTATCGGGTTACGACAGGAAAATTTCTTCGTTCGTTTCTGTTTTGTTTTGGAGCTATGATGTGGCTTGGGGTTCGTGCCCTCTTCGATTTGCTGGTGGCAACCTTTTGGTGCTTATTCACCTCACTGGATGGTTCCGCTCGAGCCGGTGGGGCACTGGGATCTCGGCCTGATACTGAGCCCACTATCAATGTATTTTATCTATTTTTTCTGGTTGGCCTTTTCTTATTGTAACCGTCTATTTTTATCAATATATTTGTTTTTATTAAAAAAAAATAAAAAAAAATACTTGCCAGATTTAGATACATACAAGTCAGATTATACATTGCATTGCTAGATATATGCTTGTTGAAACAAAAGTGCAATTTAGCTATGATTGATAGATATTGATATTTTATTTAATGCAAGGTTTTTGTTTTTCAATATATTCAAATTCAGTTTTTCATATATTCGGTTCAAAAGACTCTTTCTGAATTGTGAACCCAAGACGGGGATTTTTCAATTCATTTTTCTATCACACTTATTTTCTTTTCACTATGCAGAGACTTTCTTTGCTGTCAATTTGTTCTTAATTACCCTTATACAAGAAAACGTTTGGATAACTTTAAATTATGGCTGTGAGTTTTCTATGGCCATCAATTTTGGAAGAGTAACTCTATTCTTTTTAAATTATTGTAAGGTTAATTGTATTTCCTTTACTCCCCCTTCATTTATGTAGTTTTAAGTTTTCAAGTTGGGTTAAGCTGCCAGAGCAGTTTATGGTGAAGAAATACATTTAAATATATTAGGCCTGCATCTTTTTAGATTCACAATTTTTCAAATTAATATCACTTTCCTAGAAACTTTCTTTTGTTCCTGCAGACAAATATTTAGCTTCCAGAGAACCACAAGTCTGTACCTTTTGCTCATTTCTGCCACATTAGAGAGATGATTGCAGCTTGTCAGAACTTTTTTCCATCGTTAGGCTTGATGTTCAGACTGAGTGACACAAGCTTATGAAGCTTTTTATTCCTTTTTGAAGCCTTTATGGCAAGATCATTTGACATCGGATGAATGAGTAATATCTGTCTGAAATTCATTTCATAAACTGTTTTTTGGAGCAGGATGTGATGCAAGTTTTGAGGATTCATCTACATCACACTTTTTACTTCCATGTGTTGTCCTTGTAATACTTTTTATGATTTTTGGTCAAAGTATTGCAATTTTTTTTTACATATATTGATGGTCAAATAATTTAGGGCTGGTGATACATATAAAAAAAATCATTCATTACCGGAATTTTTCAAATTTCCCGCGGTTATCCGACGGAATACGATGAAATATTTCCAACTGATTTTCCGACATATTTTTACGGCGACTTTTTTACCAGATTTTAATAATTTAACTAAAATAAATAAAAATTAACTATATAAATAATTTAATAAAAATGATTAAAAATGATATAAACTAGTCTAAATTAACTATCCCCTAATTTAACTAAAATGATTTAAATTTAATATTATTATTTAAAATTTTTATTTATTTTAAAAATTTAATTTAAGTAATTAGTCATTTTAATAGTTTATTTCAATTATTTATTAAATCTAATACTTTATTTTAATTACTGTGTTTATTTTAATACTTTATTTTAATTAATTATTAATTTTTATTTTTTCAATTTTAATTTAACTTAAATAATTATTCCGGTGAAAGAAAGGCGCCGGAAAACTTTTCTGGCTTTTTTTTTTTTCCTAAAAATTTTTTCTATGCGGTTTATACTGGCTGAATATTTACAGCCATAAATCCGCATGAAACTTACTAATTTCCAACAAAAAATTCCATCGGTAACAAACAAATTTTCCTATAGTTACAATTTTCTTGCTTTTTTTTTTAACGAGCACCATCACATTTTTACTTTTGTTATAACTTTCTTTTATTGCGGCGAGATAGAGCTTTACACGGCTAGATTTGTTAGAGACTGATGATGATTGTTAGAAAATTATTGTCCAATCTTTCCGACGGAAGAGAGTTTATAATACCCAAAAAAATATTTGATAACCTTACTTTCTTACAATACTGTTTAATTTAAATCAAATCTAATCAATTGGTCTATGAAAAAATATAAATAAAATTCATAGTTATTATGAAAATATACACCTTATAGAAATAATTTGTGATATTACTATAAATAAATAAATGACATTTATGTTGTTTACTCCTCTTTTACTTATAAATTTAAAATATTCATCAAACTTACTGTGAATTATGCTCTCTGTTGTGTTCCCCCACATTTGATCACAAATATATAGTCTTATCCATTGTTCTGCGACTGTTCTCAATTGTTTTTTTTTTTTTTTTTTTCCTTAATTTTTTAATTTTTTTTAAAAAAAAATTTGGCTGTGATCATTTTTTTTGGTTTTTTGAAATTTTTTAAATTAAGAAAATTATGATTTTTATTTTTTATTTTTTTTTTTGGTTGCGACTGTTCTCAATTATTAATGTTTCATGCTGTTGATGTTTTTAATACTAATAAACAGTGATTTTAATCATAGTTTTTTTTATTTTGTTGGACAATTTAGAATTGGATAAATTTAGTTATGATCATATTTGATTCGATCATTTTCAATTACTCAAATAGTTGAGGTGGGATTGTATAAATTCAAAGGTCTTCTCTCAACCACATGATATATTTTGGACGACAGCGATTTAATGTAATTAAAGAAAGTCAGAGAGTTTTTAAAAAATCAGATTATATATAGATTAAATATTAGTCGTCCAAACTGGAGAAATATTTAGAGAAAGCCGCTTAATAACAAATGCAATTTCAGGTACAGAAAATACTGAATCAGAATGTTATGATTAAATTTTGACCTTGATGGATTATAAAGTCATTGGATTCGCACTTATCTTAATTCAAATTCAAAGTTTTAAAAATCCATTCTCATAAAAATTTGATTAGAATATTTTATGATATTTTTGCTTAATTAAGTCATAAAAAATTCTCCAATAACGTAGATGAGAATTGATTTTTCTAAACAAGTTAAGGGTCCTTTTTTATGAAAATTTTTAAATGTTTTGTTTTTCAAACAGCTGCCTCAAATTACTTTATTTTTTATGTAATTAGATGTTAAAAATTAAAATTAATAAAGTAAAAAAGCAGAGGTTCGTAAATCAATAAATTAGATGTTAAAAATTAAAATTAATATCAACTAAATCCTTGAATAAATTAAATAATTTATCTTTTTTTTTTTTTAAGTTCAAATGATTAGAGGGAGGAAAACTAGATAAGCATTCTTTACAACAGCTCCACTGAAAACGGTGTGAGCCTGATGACGGTGGATGCCTTGTTAGATTTCGTCGAGGGATTAATTACGCAGTCAAGTGTCCTCTTTGGAGTAGCAGCGGGTAACTAGATAAAAAAAAAAAAAAAAAACTTTCAGGCCAAAGACAATAAGCATTCACTCTCATCAAAATATGTCATTTATTCCAATGATGAGAACAAACACAGAGCAAGGAAATTAAAAACATGCTTGAGATAATAAACCCAATATTCATCCACCATTCACAAGCATGTAGAGGTGTCAATTTCGGGTCACGGGTCGGGTTCGAGTCGAATCCGGAACTGACTCGGTACTATTCGGGCCAACCCGAACCCGACCCATTTTTGCATACGGGTCAATTTTGAGGACCCGACCCGCTTCGGGTTCGAGTAACCCCAACCCGACCAGGTTCGGGTTCAACAGGGCATGCGGATCTCGGGCACCGCGACAACGGCTCAAACGCGGCAGATTCAAACGCGGGTCCGCGATGACTCCGACAACGACTGAAACGCAGCGGACTCAAACGGCTCAAACGAATGCGGATTCGCACCTCTCGGGACTCGGGCGGACTCGCGCCTCTCGGGACTCAGGCAACCCGCAACTTTTGATCGCGGGCACCGCCGCTTTGGGCAGACCGCAGATGCCACTGTGGGAGCACGCGGCGCTGCGCGAGACGCACTCGACAAGTCGTCACGCGTGGGCCTGCCGTCTGTGGCAGTGGCTCGATGCACGCGGGCAGATCGGGCAGCCGGGTCATTCTGGGTCATTTTCGGGTTCCCGGGTCAACCCGAACTCGACCCGTTTTTTGAAACAAGTCGAAAATCTCAACCCGAACCCGACCCGGTTTGGGTTCGGGTCAATCCAAACCCGAAATTTTTGGGTCGGGTTTCGGGTTGGATTAAATATAGACACCCCTACAAGCATGCTTGTCTTATTCATTATTCATTAATACGCATAAATATAAAACCCAGACTACTAATCTCTCATATAACCTCCATAATTTTCCCCGTTTCCCTCACGTTATTCTGCTCTCCGCCTGAAACCCCCATTGTCCCATTAAGTGCAATGGCGACGACAACTTCATCCGATCCATAGCCATTCGTCTCAGTAGACCAAACGCTTGGGCCGTATGCAGCAACAATACCGCCCCTTTGTAGTATGAGGATATACTTTCCTTCACTTCTGATAGCTTCGGTCTCCCATATGATCTCATTTTCATTGTTATGGATAATGAGATTGCCGTCTCTCTCAAAGGTGAGGTAGAAGCCAGAACCTCACGAGACCGAAAAAGCCCTTAGAAAATCCGCCGGAAATTTTCATGGTAAAGAAACCGTCAAAAAATTTCAAATTGGAAAAGTTATCTCATTGTTTTCCGTCGAAAAACCGCCTAAAAGCTATCAAAAATGGGTGATTTTCCTGTAGTGTCGATTGTTGGTATGCCCGAAGACCATATCAGATTGGTAAGTTGGTAGAGGACGAGGTTGCAATCATTTTGCATAATAAACTTGTAGACCATCTTTGTGAGGTAACGGTCTGTGTCGAGGCGCTCACCGCTGAGCAAGTAGTTGGAGTACTGGCCTGAGCCAGGGGTGGTGAAAAGGAGTGAGAGGGAAGTAGTGCAAAGGAGAAGGACCTTGATCATGGAGAAGATTAGAAGAAAGACATGATTAATATTAGAACACAAAACACAAATAAAGATGTATTTACTTGCTATATCCAGGTGGCATGTTTTCATTAGCTGAAACATCCCATCTTACTCTATTTATACTAGGCTAGCTGCTGTACAAAGAACATAATACAATTCCTTATTTCTTTAGTTTTCACTTCTTCTCTGTTCTGTTCGTTCTTCATGGTATCAAGAGCTGATTGAGAGGAAATCTTGATCAATGGCGGACTCGGCTAGTTCGCGCCTAAGCGAAAGCACCGAACCAGCGTCTCAAGAAGATTCTGCCGTTTCCCCCAAGCTGAAGTTCATCGTCTCCGGCCAACATCAAAAATCTCGTTCCAATTCAGCTAAACCTAGAAAACTACTCGGTTTGGAAATCTCAAATCCTGAAAATCTTTCGTTCTAACGCTTTTGATAAGTATATTAATGATCATAAATTTTTTATATTATAAATTTATATATTATATTAAGTATTATTCTTATAAATATATTATTCTTAAATGATATTTATATGTATAAAATTTTATTATATATTTTAAAATTTTATAAATATTATTAAATGCTCATATACATATATTATATGATTTTTATTTTATTAATTTTTAATAATATTATTATTTATTACGATCCAATTCGACCCCGGTTCGACCGTAGAACCGTGAACCTCTCTCTCTCTCTTCTGCGTTCTGTTGTCCGTCCGAGTTTTCACAACGCTTGGTATTAAACTTCAGGATAGTTTTATTTTATTTGCTAGCGTATATGGATATGGATACATAGGATAGCCATCTCTTGTTTTGAGTGTAGCCTATTTTGAGTACATTTATCTATAAAATATGAGCATTTACTTGTAATGAGATTAGCTTTTGGAGATATGAATAATAGTTGAATAATTTTACTCATGTTTTGGGTTTCTAATATCCGAAGGATTTCAGGTTATGATCCCTCTCCAAGGATTCTTGGTCGGTCACGGATTCTTCGACGTGAATTCGTCGAGCCCTTCCGATCCGCGTCAGAAAAAAATTGTTTTAAGAAGTAATAAAAAAAGCCATCCCAAATAAAATTTAGTATGTGATAGCTTTAAAAAAGTTATTATCATATTGGCTTAAAAAAATTATTTTGGCTATAATATCTTCACAAGTGTCTTTACAAAAGCTATAATCACCCAATCTGACCCAAAGTAGAGAAAAATTATAGAAAATGTCATTTTTGTACTCAAGAAAAACTTTTTGTAAGAAAACAGATAATTAAATTCACTTTTTTTATATATATAAAAGGCAAATATTAATCTCCCTTCTGTAAATTGTTGAAAGGAGTACATAGCAATACAATTATTAGCGCGATAAAGGTCGGCCATTTTTATTTTTTTTTTAAAGTAGGCCATGTCTTGGATTCTAAATGAGGAATTGTTGGATGTATATACATGGGAGCAGGCTATGTGATCATTCGCGATGAATTGGAATCAACCCATTATTACAATCATCGAAAGGGACGTCATTTTAGTTTATTTTATACAGGCTCCTTTATTGCTTTTTAAAAAGAAGAAAAAAAGATGTTTAAGAAAATTGTCTAAATAAATCATCTATTAATTTACAGAAACTATAATTGAAGGCTATCTAAACTCTTATGCTTCGTTTGGGACGATTTTTTACTGCTCTTAAATAATTTTTTATATAAATTAAAATTTTGTGCACTAAAAGTTATATAAAAGCATTAAGAAAATTATCCTAAACAAAGGCTTAGACTTTATTGAAAAAGTTTTGGGCTACTCTATTTTTTATGATTTAAAAAAAATTATTAGAAAGTTGGTAAAAAGAAGTGAATAATTTTTTCCCATCTTAAAAATAAAATTAGACCGTGTTCATCTTCTTCAAAATATGAAATACCACCTTATTATTAGTTATTACTAATATATAATATAATGAATTATTTTAATTTTAAATTAAGTGTGGCATAATTTTTGTTAAGACGGTATTCTTTATATTATATATATATATATGCTGACTCAAATTTGATCGAGACATTTTGACCCAAACTTTTCATTGATTACTTATGTTATTATGGTTTTATTTGGGATATTTTTTATCATTTTTTTAAATAGATTTTAGTAAAAAGTTTATTGAATTAAAAATTTTTGTATATAAAAAATGCTTTGAAAAATAAAAAAAAATGATTTCCTATATATACATTTTTCGGAATCGGTCTAATTAAAATTATCAACTTGTTTTTATTAACATTTTTCTTTTGCTAACTTTCTTGAAATAAAAAATATATTTTTTAATCGAAATATTCTAATTAAATTTTAAACATGATGAATTTTTAAGTCATTGGATTTGCACTTATCTTAAAGCGAATTCAAAGATTTCAAAATTCATTCTAATAAAATTTTGATTAGAGTATTTTGAGATATTTTGTGCAACTTTTTATTGTTTTGTTTTTAAAACATCCACCACAAATTGTTTTTTTTTTATTGTTTTTGGAAATAGTTATTTTTGGGAACCAGATCTACTTTGACTTCATTTGAGATAGCTTTTATACTATTTTGTATAAAAAGTAATATTTATAGCTATTGTAGAAATTAGCTTTTCCGAACAAATATTTTTAAAAAAATATTGAAAAAATATTGTATTATTGAGATTTGAAAAGAGAATGAAAAATAAAGCTATTTCAAATGAACCCTATGATGTCTGTTTGGGGAACTTTTATTCTATCCAGTGAACGTACGCAGAGGAAGGTTTGGTTTTAGGCAAAAAAGTGCCTGTACCGAGTTTTTGAAAAAACTCGGTACTCTGAAAAAAAAACTCGGTACAGGAACTTTTTGCCTAAAACCGAACTTTCCTCTGCGTACGTTCATTGGATATAATAAAAGTTCCTGTTTGGGACCACTGTAACTTTATAACCACTTTTATAAAATAGTGTGCAACTTTATAAGTTATAACCACACTACTCTCCTTGGCCAGTTGGCCTATTGGTTGAGAGCTTAGGCTTCCAACTAAGAGGTCCAAGGTTCGAGTCCATGCGTATGCGTTGAGTGTGTGAGTTTGCCTTAAATGGCCTAAATGTCCCAAAAAACTTTATAAGTTATAACCAACTCTATAAAAAAAGTAGTTATAAAGTTGCTATGAAAAAGGGTTTTTTTAAAGCTATTGTAGAAAATAACTTTCTCATACAAAAAGTTATTAAAAATAGTGAAGAATACTAATCAAATAAAAATTATGGCTACAATATGAAAATCAAAACAATAAAAAAGTTATCCCAATTGAAGCTATACTGTGGTAGCTATGAGAAATTTGTTTCATGATTTTCCTAGAAGAAAATATTTATAGTACTCCTTGTAACTTTTACAAAAATTATTTTTCGGAAGAAACCATAAATAGGTTCCGTTCCCTGTAGAAAAAAAATTTTGTTTAAAAATTAGTTATTTTAATTTCACTTACTTTATGAATAAAACTAAAATTATTATAATTGGTCGATCCAGCGATTTTTGTTTAGTATTAATAAACCTTTAAAATTAGTGTAAGTTTCAAACTACAAAGAAGATTAAGGCTTCTCTTGGGACATTAGTAGATTAATTAAATAAGTTAAAAAAAAAAATTTAGTACAAAATTTTTTTTAATTAAAAATATTTATACTAGATATTTTTTTTAGAAAATAATACAAAAACTGTCCCAAATAAAACCTGAAGTTACAATTTGTACAGCTTTTTTATTACTCATTAAAATAAAATTTTGTACTAAAATTTTACTTTTAAAAGCAATAAAAAAAATTCTAAATGAAGCCCAAATTTAATAAGTTTATCAATTTTTTTACTTCACAGAAATTAGAGGGAAAAAAAAGACAAAAAACCTCTACAAAAGCTCCACTGCAGCACACAACTCTCCTTGGCCTATTGGTTGAGAGCTTAGGCTTCCAACTAAGAGATTCAGGGTTCGAGTCTATGTGTATGCCTCCACTGCAGCACACAACTCTCCTTGGCCTATTGGTTGAGAGCTTAGGCTTCCAACTAAGAGATTCAGGGTTCGAGTCTATGTGCATGCATAGTGTGTGTGAGTTTGCCTTAAATGGCCTAAATGTCCCAAAAAAATAAAAGCTCCACTGCAAGCTTTCTAGCCAGCCAACGACAAAAGACATTCACTCTCTTCAAAATCTGCCATTTTATTTCAACGATAAGAACACACTCACAGTCACAGAGAAAGAAAATTAAAAGCGTGCTTGAGATAATAAGCAGATTCCTCCAGCATTATAAAACCATTACGCATAGACATAAAACCATGGCTACTCATCACCATGGACCTGCACTATCTTTCCCATTTCCTTCACCTTATTCTGCTCCGCCCCGGAAGCCCCAACCGTCCCATTACGTGCATCGGCGACGACAACGACGGCAGAGCCAGAATAACTAGTCCCAGTAGCCCAAATGGGTTTGCCATATATGACAACATTGCCGTCCTTCTGTAATATGAGGTTATAGTATCCGTTTTCTCCACCAGTGTTGCTCGCCCATATGGCCCTGTTTCCATAGTCATAGACAACGAGGTTGCCGTCGCTCTGCATGGCAAGGTAGCAGCCGGAAGCTTGGCCGCCGGTGTTTGAAGCCCATCTCGGTGTCCCGTACATGTAGAGGACGAGGTTGCAATCGTTTTGGATAATGAACTGGTAACTGCCCTGTATGAGGGATTGGCCTGCGTTGAGGCGCTCACCGGAGAGCAAGTGGTTGTAGCTCTGGCCTGAGGCAGGGGTGGCGAGAAGGAGTACTGAGAGGGATGCGGCGCAGAGAAGAAGGATCTTGATCATGGAGAAGAAAGCCATGGTTGGTTAAGTAGAGAGTTTACTTGCTTGGTTTTAATGGGTGGGGGTTGGTTTTCTATTTATAGTGGAGAGCAATGATACCAGCAAGGAATTTTAGAAATATGTACATGACTTTAATGTGTTGTTACGCCTTCAATCAAGATGATTGAACGGATGCTTTTTTCTTTTTTTTTTTTTGACATTTATGTCAATTAAAGTAAATTCACACACCCATGGCATATGTAAGACTCGAATCCACGATCTCTTAGTTGGTATCTTAAGCTCCTAACCAAAAGGCCAAAGTACTATCCACTATTCAACAATATTTATGCTCTACTTGTTAAAAAAATTTGTGATATTTAATATCCTCAAGAAAAAAAAATTCAGTTTTTTTTTTCCAAATTTTTGCTATTATTCAAATATATATATATATATATATATATTGTATAATATATATATGATATATATATATATATATATATACTACTATATATATATATATGAGTACATTACTTTTTATTTCCAACAATGGATCAGAAATGAGAAGTTATATTAATAATGTCGTGAATATAACATATATTTAAGGTAGACATCAGGCTAATTG